GGGTGTGCGCATGATGTCTGTTTTGGAGCTTAATGAATAGGCGTAAAGGCGTCCAAAGAATTTTATTGAGGCGGTCTTGCATGCATAACTCGTTATTGGTCTCGTACCTTCACCTGCTGAACGAAAGATGTGTTCATTTTTTCGCGTTTCAAGTAAGGTTAAATGTAACTTATGTGGCCGTTGAATCCCAGCTATCTATTGTCTGACGGCATGCGTAACATGCGGTTAGAATCACCAAAATTATGACCATTTCCTGTGCAGCAGGTTTCGTATGATGCCAATGCCACGTTTCCGCCACTTATATCCTCTGAACTGACCTCCCTGTAATTGGTGCCAAAAAAGAGCCCTCCCCGCGCACTAAAGGTGCATGAAATGTCCATTACGAGAACATTCTCATTACTGTGCCAATTACTCAGAGATCGGCTGCGGTCTCGTGTTCTTCCGTGCGGCCTTGTGCAGGGCTAGCTGGCACCCGGCAGCAAACACGTGTCGCTCTCAAAGCCGGGCTGTTTCCCTGACCCTGAAGTCGTCGTGTTTGACATCAGCTGTCAGCCGCTGACAGCCGGAGTGCGAGCCAATCCCCGAAGGCTGTCGGCGCCTCCGACGTATCTGATTGGCGACAGGCTGCGCTGTCGGCGCCGTCGGCGTGCTGCCATGCACGATTGGCACCAGCAACATGTTCCTGTGTCGAACCTTCAGGGCGTTACATATGGCTCCATCGCGCAAGATTGCCATTCAGATTTATGACGTCAGTGACATGCGATCGCCTATGTCTCAATATCAGCATATACATATATATATATATATATATATATATATATATATATAATATATATATATAAATATATATTCCATTTGGTACCTAACGATCATGTTTCATGCTCGTGTACGCAAAGTTGGATCCAGTGCACAATCGCATTGTCATAATAAGCTGAAGTTCAGTACATCGCGAACAACGACCTTAACTTTTGAAGACCGCATGGCGTGCATCGCCGCGGAAACATTAAATTGAGCACCAGCGACTGCGTTTAATTGGAACCAGCCGGCCAGCGGACCGTTGGCGCCGAAATGTAAACATGGTTTACATTCCGGTTTACAGTCGCAATGTGAACCTGGTCTCCCACGTAAGGCTGAGGAAGCTCACAGCCAGACTTGTACTTGGAGCCCCCACCCCCAAAGATCTTAAGATCCGATCCAGGATCCGATCCCAGGATCTGATCTCAGGATCTGATCTCAGGATCCGATCCCAGGATCCGATCCCAGGATCCGATCCAGGATCCGATCCCAGGATCCGATCACAGGATCCGATTCCATATTCCGATTCCAGTGTTTATTAACATGGAATCCTTTTTGTTTTGGGATCCCCCTCGACAGAGGAACCTGGATCCATCCTTGGAATCCGAGCACATGACGGGCCAGCTAAACTATTTGGGTCACTAAGTGATCCGTGAAAGTGTTAAACAAACCAGATCCATCTTGCTGAGTCGGAATAATTGGAAGTCCTCACACCCAGAAATGCGGGAAAATTACATGTCGCATGATCAAGCTGTGCAGACCAGGTCTTAACATAGGCTGTCCAATGAGGTGTGCTATAAGAAACTCAAAGCTACCTTAAGTATTTTTTAGCCAATCTATCACAAGCAGAGTTCAGAAGTTCAATAGAATTTAGAAGCGTGAAGAGACGCAGACTTTTAAGACCCCTGTGACTTTCCTGTCTCTGCTTGCTGTTCTGTGACGTCAGATGTACTCAAATGTCATTGGGCCCACATGAGTTGCCATACCACGACTCGCCATCATATTAAAACTGATGATTCCAGTCGGGAAGGCGAGTGCCAAAAGTTCCGAGACAGTTCGGTTCATTCACTGGTAATCCGATGACGTTTTTACACCAATTATGAACCATCCCGATGAACCTCCCTCTAGGGGAGGGGGAAGGGGGCCCCAGCCTGAATAAATCACCTCAGCGTATAGCGGAAGGGCCTCCGCTCACTTATGGTTCTCAGGCTCCTGCGTGGACTGCGACACACTACGCGCCATTGTCATCACCACACGGCTTTACATAATGCGCTGATGAAATCTGACGTCGCTGCGGTCGGCTCGCCTGGATTGTCTGAGGGCGCTCCTTGCGCCAGCCATGTCGCTGTTGGTTCCAGGACACGCCCCCGCTGGTCACCCTACTGTGTTTTAATTGCCGACGGCGCCATATTGTCACTGCGCGCCCCGCACGCTGAATCTGTTGTCATGGTGACGTCGTCGTGACGGCAAAGAAAGCCGCGCTTTCGGGTGGGCGTGATTTTTTTTTCCCGCCGTGAATGCGTCGTAATGGCGAGGGCGTTTCAGCGTCTCCAAAAGTCGGTTTCTGAAAGGCGTCCTTGTCCCACTTCTTTAGTAGATGTCGTTTTGGTTTGCTGCCTAAATTTTTCAAAGCTAGGATGCCATTACAGTAGCAGTCTCTGCGATGTTGACAGGCGGTGCTAGTGGAGGTTTTGTCTGTCATGGCAGCTCGTCTGTTTCACTGGCAGTATTTGCTGGCTCTTGAAGCCCCTGGGAGACTGGGAGGCTTCACACAGTATTGATCAGGGGATTTATTTCGTCGGATTTGCATGCACCGCGATTGGATGAGCTTCCCCGACATTTTTGGAAACAGCGCTGTTTCCAAACTATCTGAGCTACGTTTCTTGAGGTTGTAGACTATGTCACACTGCAAAACACATATTTGCATGATGGCCACGCCCTGCATTTCGATGCCGTGAGGAAAAAGCTTCATCGCTTGTCCTTTCAAGCACAGGGATCATCCCGATCTAACTTGGCCCTATGGTGACATTAAGCAGCACTTACAGATACCATGCGCAATGCTATTCAGCATACGCCCATTGGCCACAAATACGAAGGGGGTCGTTGATTGTGCGTTGTCCTGCTCTTACTGGCTGGCGTGTTGAATAACTGTCACGATGACTGCGATGGCAGCAATCGCAGCTTAACGTGCCACGACGGCCCAATTTGTTTCAGGCTAAGCTTGACAGAGTTTTCGCAATTTTCCCTCTCTCTCTTCACGGTGCGCCTTTGTGAATTAATGCGTGGCGTGACCTCGTGCTTGTGACCAGTGACGTAGTCGTGTAGAGTACTTCATGAAGTCGCGGGGGTCGTTACAGTTTCTTGCCGGTTGAGTTTTACAGCATTGCGTGCTGCGGATCGTCAGGATAAATGTTACGTATGGTGGCCATGTTTTATGCTAAAGTCATCCCTGTTTTCATACATGAGCCATCTTTCATCCTGGTTCCGTTTTACCTTTCTCCTGACTAGGTTCTGCTTGGCCAGTGGTCTGTTCTCAACCGCCCTCCGCCGCACGGGCTACCTAAATGTAGACTCAGTACTGCCCGCGGGCCATGCGGGTCGGACCATGGCCGCTGCGGTGCCTTTTTCAACCAAGTATCAATCTGATCTGACTTGTGAGCTAAAAGTGACGAGAAGCCGAATGCAGCACCTATCTCTGAGGGAGGCGCGATAGTGTAGCCATATGGTTTGTGGTGGGCGGTAAAGACCATGGGCCCGGTAGGAACCAGTTGAGCGAGTGGACCCGCGTTCCGAATCCCAGTTCTGCCATCGATTTTTGCTCACTTAAAGGTTCTCACGGCTTGGTGAACCCGGGTTCTCCCATGGAAATGTGGGACCTAGAACGCTACAAACTAGACTCCAGGTGCCAGCTGCGGCACTTGCAAAGAGAACGTTTCCCACGAGCCGTTTTTTATCCGCGTGCCAGTGTTATCACTTCGCACAATGCGCGACTGTACACGCGGTAAAACCAAAACCCACGAGACCACCACATGCCGACTTCGATGGAAACCCCAATCTAGCCGTCCAAACCTGGCTAAATGTGCCTTTTTTCCCACTAGACGGAGCAGGCCCTTCGTGACAAGCTCGCGTCGCAAGCGAGCCTCTCCGATGACGAATGGCCTGGCGACACCGGCCATTCTCCCGGCAACGGTTGGCTGACGAGCACGGCCGTCAGCACTGACGGACGACCGCGACAACGGGCCAGCAGCCGTGCGCCGACCCGCCGACGCCCCGGGGAGTAAACAGACTGTTTTGTGGCGCTCACGGCGGGACGAGAAGGGCGTCGAGACTACCGCTGGCGGGCGGTGGCCAGAGGGCGGGTGGAGAGCGGTGCGCGCGCTAGAGGTTGCTGGTAGCGGGTGATGATGTTGAAGACGCTGCAGAACTCGTTCCGGCGCTCGCGCGAGAGGAACGGCGAGAGGAAAGAACGGCGGAAGGAAATGGAGTGGTTACGAATGGTGAGTGTTGGGTGCTGCCCAGTTCCTTCTGCGATGCGTCTCTGAGGGTCACTATAACGCCCGCCTGAGGTCACGTTAGCGTCCATATTGTTGCACCGATACCAGCGTCGGGAGGTGTTGTGGCGGGGTCCAGCGGAGGACGTCAGAACAAGTTATTAGAAGTCGACAACCGCAACCTCGAGGAAAGCGTCGTTGATCCATCATGAGGACGATCCTTCCTTCGTGGTGTGAAGTACAACTGCCAGAAAGTGCGTGGATTTTGCGCTGTTTAGAGCGGGTTGACCTTGCGGTGTTTTTCCCCGCGGGATAATTTTTTACTGTCTTCAGACATCTGTTCAAAGCTGCGGTTGACTTCGCCGGAGCATGAAAGGCCGCACGTTTAATCTGCTTCACTTTTGTCGTAGCCTTTGTCCCCTGTCCTTTTCCTTTTGTTCTTTTTGGGGGTTTGTCCTTTGTCCTTTTGCACACGGATGTGGTCCAGTCTACACCCACGCCTCGCTACGCCAAACAACCCCCGCCGCCCCTCCTCCTGTCCCGAGCCCCGCCGATCACCATCCCCCCCTCCCCTCCGTGTGTGGGCGGGGGGGGCTCCGGGGGGGGGGGCAGCTCCGGGGGGGGGGGGCAAGCTTCCGGGGGGGGGGGGGGCAGCTCCGGCGGTCAGGGTGTCATTTATAGCGCCCGTCGCCGACCTTCGATGAGGTGCCTCCGAAACGTTTGTCTTGGCCGGTGGGCGGCGTCGGGGACGGGCCGGGCAGACCTCGGGCGCGTCCCGGTGTCCGCTGAGTCAGAGTGGCCGCCCACCCTCCCCCGCTCCCCCTCGCTGGGCAGAACGGATATCGGTTTGGTCGGAAGTTATATCGCATTGCTCCATGTTATTTTTAAACTGTTGGTTTCTTTTTTAATGGATCTGAACATTTGTTCCGCCGCGTTTTCACCCAGAACTAACGGTTCTAAACGAAACGATTGTGACGGAAGCACGTTTCCACTACAGTGCTAACAAAAATACCAGCTCCGTGCTCAAAACAATGACAACAAGCTTGTGAAGCCGATCTAGGCTGTTCGGGGAAAGGTGAAGTGCCTGACGCTGCCCAGCTCGTGGGCGCATCCATGCAGACCAATTATGACGGAAGTGTCATCATGTTTCAGACCTGCTCTGTAATCAGGCTCCTGTCCCCTCTGTGTTTACTCTGCTGCTGGCTGTTTCCATCCAGTTGCAGCCATGAATTGCGCTTCAAACCCCGCACTGAGTTGCCGCGACGTATCTGCTTCGGTGCAGTGATTCGGCGATTGCTTATTGCTTCGATGACGTGTGTTTGGACGTGGTATTGCACGGGTTGTAGTAGCAGTGCATATGCCATCCAAACCTTGCCTCTGACTGCCCTGCGGATGAGCCATACTGATCTTTTTATTGAGGAATTCAGTGGTTTTCGCTTCGGTAGAATGATCTTACCAAATGATCCAGTGAATGGCCCGCTTTTTGTGGACTTTTCGGGTGCATTTGTCACACGCGACGTGCGTGATCGATGAGATCGTCGACCTCGAAGCCCGTCTGCTCAGAACAGCCAACCCAGGCTTTCAGTTTGTCTTCGGAATTATCGTTTCCGGACTGCAAGAGAGCGTGGAAGCGGCCTTGACTGTGGGAGACCGGGTCCCGAACGTTTATTGGTGCCCACACCTGTTTATGCTGATCGCCAATAAGGTTCTCTTCGCTGGAAGGGGAGCTGGACAAATTTCTATGACGACAGGTAGCTCAGTTGGGGCATTCGTGTTTCAAGAACTCAGCTGAGTGCATTACACCGATTTTCCAGAACACAACTGACCCTCCCCCCCCCCACACCCTGCGTTTGGAACGCTTTGATGCTCAGACTTCGCGCTGGGCGAAGGCGGCGAAGTTAAAAGGTGGTGCTTGGGGGAACCAGATGCCTTCTTGTCGCCTGGATTTCATCCATTTCCTTTCGTCCTGGATATGAATGCAGGAGGCTGAAATATGACTCCTATTTGCAACACCAAACTGTGTAAGGGATGCAAGTATGATACACAAGTGTCTGTAAGTTGAGCACCAAGAAAAATACAGCGTCGCTACATCATTAGTTGTCTCTCACTCCTTCTTCCGGTATACATGCTAAGACTATCGGTATAATCTTGCAACTTCCACCCGTCTTTGCAGTGGACAGTCTTGCCTGCAGCTAGCACGATGTGGGAACAGTTGCTGTTTTCTCGACCCGAAATGGCACTGCAAAACAATGCGAGCCGCGTGTGTGAAGCTTCCGGCTTGTCTGTGTTATCAGGTCTGACGCTGCCAGGCATGAAACGCCACGAAATTGTCACTCTGACACACATTCTGCACTTGCAATTACTTTCTTCTAGATGCCACGTCTGACAGACTCTCTCCATGTACGAGCCACAAGTCTTCTTCCTCTCCCGTCTCTCCCGTTTCGCCCTAACTCTCCCATCAAGAGAGCATCCGCTGTATTGTCGACGTCTTCTGGTACCTCCCCATGCTTTACTGGTGGGCGTTTCATGTGCTCCTATTTCGTTGTGCTATTTTTCTTATTTTCCAGTTCGTGTACGGATTTTTGAAGCCTTTTGATATTGGCTGATGTTTGCCGCGTTTCGTTCCAAGTCCGTTCCTGCCCCACGCCATGCTTATTTTCCTGTTCTGGTGTCTGGGAAACCACATGTACGGGGTTCGATTCGCCGCGTTGCCCACCCTTCCTGCCAGGGTGAGAGGCGGGTGACGCCATGTAGCCTCATAGCTGAGTGCGTCGTAAAGCTACAATCGATCACATTCCCTCTCTGTTCTGCCTCTCTCCACTGAGATCCGTTTCACTATCCAGGCCGGGCTGAGCTCTCCCCCCCCCCCCCCTCTCCAATCCCGCTCCTGCGACGCGGTTCTTGCTCAGCTGATTGTCATGATCAGCTGAGCGGGCTCCACTGGTGCCGAACCGCTTTCGGAGCTGACTATGGCTTTGGTGTGCGCTGATCCGCCGGTGCCCGCTCGTCACCGCGTCTCTGAACAGAAGCGAACCGGAACGGGTGTCGCGCGCGCTCTCTTGTTTTCACTCGCTCTTGTTATCGCTCTGTTTGTCTCCGTTCTGCCGCTTGCGCTGTGCCCACTGAGAGTGTCTGGCAGGTTCGTTGTCCGGTTTCACCGCAGCTATTTTTGCGCATGCTGTCTCCCTCGCCCTGCCGTTGTGACGTGCCGGCTACCAGCTAGGATAGCCCTGCCCGTTACGGTGGCGGCGGCGCTTGTCTCTGTGTGCTCCCCCCCCCCCCCCCTCCCCCTCACACACCCGTTATCGGGTAGGGTGACGGTATCGTGGGCAGCGGCTGTGCAAACCCCGGCCTCGTGCCAGGCTGGGGTGGAATGGGAGTGGGGGGGGGGGGGAGGGGATTTGTGATTGCGTAATCCCAAACCCGTGCTTGGAGACAGTCAAGGTAGCAGGCCCCGATCAGACGTTAGGAAGGCAGCCCGTGAAGCGCCAGTCTAGACTCACTTTAGAGCAGCAGCGTGGCGCGTTGTTGTCACTGAGGCTTTACGACGCACTCAGCTGCCGAGGCTGTGTGGCGTCGCCTGTCTCTCACCCTGGCAGGAAGGGCGGGGAACCACAACACGGCAAGTGGTGCAAATACTGCCGGCGGGATTGTCCGTTGTGTGAGGGGCTAATCTACTTAGGGGCTGTTAACGAGCAAACGGACCTTCGCTGCCGGCGCGGCGGCGGCGTCTCCGCGATGGTGTGAGCGGCCCCTCTGCCGATTGGTCCCCACCATCTGGAGCCCATAAACCCACGTGGGTTTATGGGGACACGCGAGCGGGGACGCACAGTCCCTGCCGAGCTGTCTACGGTCAGGCTCCGACGGCGCGGCTCGATGCGAGCCGCGTCAGCGTTTACGACGACGACGACGACCTCGGAGTGTGCGACGCCGCCCTTCCAACCCCTCTCTCACCTTGCCTCGCAAATCTTTGGCTAATAGAGGCTCTTCCTTCTCAACGTCTGTTTTCGAATCAAGTTGATGGTCCTCCGGAATACTAACGAACTCTTTCTCACGAACAGGGACCATGCATTTCTAAACCGACATCACGCGTGATTATAACCCTAACGCTGCCGGATGACACCCCTAACCTACATGAATGATAAGCCCACCTTATGCATGTTGTGGCCATACCTGATGCGCACACTTACAAAGTCTGACTGAAAATGGAGTGCGGTATTGGAATGAGCGATGCATGGTAGTAAGCATGTTGGCATTGCGGTTGTTACTAAGTTATCTTGCCTGGAGTTGGAAAAAGATTCGCCAAATGGTCCGAAGATGCAAGATGCCAGCGACTTAGTCAAGAAACCACAGTGATTATCGGGATGATGCCATAAGCTTCTGAAACTGTGAGTTAATCGCCTCTCGCGAATAAAGCCATGGCCTTTCTCTCATCTCTCTTTTGTAGGCACTTTTATTTTTTATATCGGAATGCCCCAGAAGTTTCCCGGCATCGTCGCTGACGCGGGTGTTCGCCACCCGACATTCCCCGCATCCTTTGTTACCGAAACTGTGTCTACCATCACCACTTAATATCAGCTCCAGCGCGGAGTCCACTTGGGGCCCACTCGCGCCCAATTCCGGCAATCGACGTCGATTTGGCCGCGTGGCGATGTGGGCGTCGACTGCACGCGCTGCAGGCATTTAACAAATCACGGCGCGCGCACGCTCTTTACTCACCGGACGCGGCCGTTCGCAAAACATCGTGTTTTGTCCACGCCGCGCCGCGTTGGCCGCCTGTTCCGCCGATTGTGCCGCATTGCGGCGCATTTGTGTCGAGTGGAGTTTTGACAGCGCCTTGATAGCGACCAATTGGTTGCACTCGCTGCACTCGCGAGTGGCAGAGGTGCGTGTGCAAGAGCGGCGAAGAAGCAGGGCGTTCTTGATACACTGCAGGGCGGGTCTTTGCGAGGACAGCAGGTTGTCAGCGTGTCATGTTCATTTTAGATGTTCTTGACCCTCGCAGTGACCCGCGTCAAGGTTTCCTCGTTGTATCGTCTGTTTGTTGAGTGTCCGACACGCTTTTTCACGCAGTACCGCAAAACGTTCTGTGGGGTTTTGTAGGTCTGGGCCACGTTGAATATGCCTGGGAGCTCCAACCAGTACCAACTGTTTGCCGCTGCATCAGACAACAAAGCTTTCTTTGCCTCCATTCATTTTCGAAACTCTGCCCAACTCGTGCAACGCGCTACACCCAACTGATGCCTACATAGCTCCGGCCAAACACAACACATCGATCTGGACCACTGCCGCCGATCACTCCCGGCCAGCAGCGGCGGCCGTGTTGCAGCGCCTGCCAGCACCGAACCGAACCGCCGTCCTGAGGGCCGCTGCAGATCTGTTCCTCCGATGCCCGTTCCTCAGCGGGTGACAGCGGCGGCGCTGCCAAATTGTCGGGCTGCCAGATCTGCGCTGGCCGGTCGCAGACCCATGTCCAACAATCGGCTGGCTCCCCCCCCCCTCCCCCTCTCCATTTGTCAGTCCGCTGCCCCCCCCCCCTCCCTCGCCTCGTCGCGCGCGCCGGTCAGGCGCGAGCGTTTTTGCCCCAGGCGGCGACGCTGGGACGAGTTTTTTCGCGACGTTGAGCGAGTCATAACAGACGGCGTGACTCGGTTGCGGCGGCACAAAAAGACCGGCGGCGGACAGACACTCGCTCGCTTTTCATTTGCCGCGGCCAGACGCACTTGGCTGACGTGAGTCCGGCGTGGTGACGTCACTAGAGCTCACTCAGCTGTTGCCGGCGTGATCGAAGGCACTTGAGAGCTGTGGACAGGGCAGGAGTACTGCAGGCTGTCTGGCACAGTACGTGCGTTACTATGGTTGCAATCAAACGCAGGTTTGGGAATATACCTTTGCAAATGGAGGGTCTTGCAGGGACAGGGTACGCACATTGCACAACCAGCATCTGACGTATGTTTTGAAATGGTTCCCGACTCTTGGTTCGAAAAGCATGCGACCATTGTTATACTGCAAGGGGTGGGATGCATGCAATCAGTAACAAGGTAGTCGCCCAATGTTGAACATGCAGTGCGGATGAAATGTTTCCTCGCAATATGGTAACAGGGTTGTGCGGGAGCTGGACGTCATAGTGGTCGAGGGCGGATCTAGCCTGGAGTTGGGGGGGGGGGGGGGGCACCGTTCGTCGCCAGCTAGCTGGTGAGGGATCCGAGGTCCAGGTGCCTGGGTGCCTCTTCGCGAGTACCTAGTAGGGAACACATTCGAAACCGAAAAAACTCCGAAGTGCTTTTTAATATTAAACAGAAGTTGAAACAAACCAGTTAAAACAGTGAAAGTTAAAACAGACGGTAAGTAGACGAAACTTTTATGAATTTCTGGGAATGTTTTTTGGGGGCCAAAACATACTCCCAGAGGTTTGGGGGGGCCATGGCCCGTGACTCCCCCCCCCCTCCCAGGATCCGCCTATGATAGTGGCTATGTTTAGTGTTGTTTGAGCCATGCATTCCATACTTTTGGTTAATCATGCGACATACAATGGTGCGTCAATTTAGTCGGGATTAAAGTCACTTTAAGTCATACACATGACAAACAAGAAAGGAGCACGAGTGTAAACACAGCACAAAAACATGCTTATTCACCCGCCATTACCCTGTGCATCTTCTGTTGCAGGAGAAATCGCGCAACCCGCGGCCGAGTCGACCGCAGCGCCGTCTGGCGGTGTGACGTCATCACCCCTGCCGCCACCTAGTCCCAAATCTCTGAGCAGAAGTCCGTCGCTGCGTCGGAAAGGTGAGTGATCTTGGATCGACTGGCCTTTGACCTGGCTGGCGCGCGGACAGGTGGGTCGGTGCGGGAACTGCCCCGGACCAGTAGGGCTATTTCTGAGGCTTCTGGGGCCGGCTAGAGACTTCTCTGGGGCCTTCCACATCTAGTCAAGTTCCTGAATCCCGCCTCTCTAGTGATTTCTGCGTTTGAACACTCCACCTCATCGTCTCTCTTTCGTCTGCATGCCCATAATTCGAAATTTTTCGCTTAAAAGATCACTGAGAAGTCATCGCTGCCAGGAATCTCCTCCAAATAGAAGGATGGGTTGAGTCCCGTCCCAGACCGTAATGTTCGTCGTTACTGATTCTGATTGACCCATGACCTTGGCCGCCGTTTGTCCCCATGACGCTTCTAAAGGTACATGCTGTGACGCCTGGCTCGCTGCGTTTCGAAAACGAGAAACGATTTGGGGATGCTTTGCTGAAGTTGCCGTGACTTGGCCGGGCACTGCACGAGAGGAATGAAATGACTGGCATACTGCTTTGCATTCTTAGTGCGTCATGATAGAAAAATAAGGATGTGGATGGTATTTTTTGGACGGAATATGTCATTAAATTAATTTAATAAATGGCATCAACCATAGTATGGGCTGGTGATGCATTGCGTTTGATGGTAAAATAGCCTCTCTAGCAATGACAAGGTATTCTCCAAACATCCTCTCTGATGTGTGGAAGCCAATTTTTTGGCGCTTCAATTATAAAGCGTCACAAGGAATCATTAGACGTTTCATCGGCGCATAACGCGTGGCACTAAACCTCTTAAAAGACTTCAGAAAATTCGGACCCCAATTATTAAATTAGACGAAAGCCTGTGGCATTCAGAACAAATATTCCTAAAAAAGACAAGGGGTTTGTATGCACCTTAAATTTAGTAACAAGGATGCGTTTATTCGGTAGCTCAGTTCGTGAACATTTCATATCTCGTCTCTGGCACTAACTTTAGGCCATGGAGCATAGTACCCTGACCGGGGGGAGGGAGGGGGTGGGGAGGAGTCCTGTAAAAGCGTTAGTACTCACAGGCCTTAATTTGTATTTACTCTAACCATTTCATATTCAAAATAACTTAACTCCGGGCATATAATTCAGAATTGGTTAGAGGGAGCAGTCCTTGTTGTCCCCATAGCATGGTGTTGCATGATGCATTTTGAAGCAATGTCAAGTGGTTTGGGCACTCGTTTTGCATTCAGGCATACTGCCACCGTTGATACTAAGCACGGTGCAAACTTGGATATTACCTCTGGATGTGTTTTTCTCACCGTAACCACGTGTGAGTGGCATTGACGCACATTGCTGTGTTTATGCACGCGTTTGATGTCTTTGTGTTGTGTGACGTCTTTATTCTTTAATCATTGGTTATGACTTGTTTTTGCACTTCGTCGCACCAACCTTAATTAAGAGTGGTCTGATGTCACCAGAGAATAAGACATCAGAAACCACGCCGTCGGTTTGTTTTGTTGGTATGCCGGTTTTAACATGCACGTGGGCACGTGTGCTTGTTTGTGTGGCTGCACCACCAGAACTAAGGAGCGTGCACGAATCGGTCACGTCCTTCATCGAAGCAGAGACCAGTCCTCTGCTAAAGGAGATCGACAATGCACTCAACCAAAAATACGACCTGGGTAAGTGCGTGCGATTTTGCTCGACTTTGGATAACTCTTTTGTGGGCGGCGTTTTGATTGTCTGCTTGTACTGTGTTATGTCATATCTGTTTCAGGCTTCTTCCTGATTTGGCATTTAAAGCGAAACATTGTATAAAGTGATGCCTTTAAACGCAGGCGAGGTGGCTTCCTGGCCTCAGGTTTTGCTCAAGCATTCCTGTGCTTGCATTTTTTTTTGCCTGGTCGCAAGAGTTGTTGTTCTCTTTGCGCTATTCAAATCACTTATATTCGCACAATCTCCTCTAAGGATGATATTTTACATCTTTGTCGCCTTTTTGGATACTCTGAATACAAATAGGAGTACGATTCCATTTGGCTCTAGTCCCCGCAACAGAAAGCGGCAGCCTCCATCACGTGTTTTTTACTCAAATCACGAGTGATGTTTGCCACGCAACCTCCGATTTGTTGTCAGCAGTGTCGCCTCTGAAAGCGCCGATATCGCGGCAGAATCTTATGACAGCTATAGAGGATACGCTTACGTATCGGGGGTAAGAAGCTGCCTTGCTCATTTTTATTTCATATTACACCATCTCTTTTGCTTGCGCTCCGTCTGCTTTTGTTGCCTATGTGTATGCCTCTTGCATATGACGTATGAACCGAGCAGGATTATTTCGGAGCTTCTCTGACTTTTTTCTTTGTCTCTATCCGTACCCCCCACATTACATTCACTTTATAAAATATTCGACATTCGTGAACCCCTCGACCTCGTTCCGCGAGTCATCTTAAAACGACTTAAGTGATTTCAGTTGCACTTTATAAATCCGCATCGAATGCGAGTTATGAATTTCGTGACTGGTGCTAGCTTTTCACGCTACAGGACAGCTTTTCTGCCCTTTCGCTCGTTCCTTTTCTTGGTTCTTTTTTCCTGTTTTTGGTTCCTGTCCTATTTGGTTCGGATCAGCACAGCCGTTCATCCATCTGTCCAGTTGTCCTTGACCCCATTACCCGTGTCTGAAACCTCCGCAGGCGAGTACGGGTCTGCAATCCGGCCACAGTTCAAGGCCAGGTCACGTAGCCCTGGTGAGGGTCAGGCGAGAAAATGCGATTTTCCGGTCCCGCTTGTGCCCGGCGCAGAGGGGATGGTAGCCGAAACCCCTGACCCGAGTTGTTGAATCGCGTACCGCGCCTGCTGATAGGTACATGGAGTGGTCAGCACGATTTGGACTTCTGTGCGTTAGACAGTGTGCCTTTTTGATTGGTGGAAACATTTTACGTGTGGGTTCTGATTGGTGGATAGATTTTAGGCGTGGGTTTTGATTGGTGGACAGGTTTTAGTGCGCGCTCCGATTCATGGACAGATTTTAGGTGTGGCATTTTGATTGGTGGGCAGACTTCAGCGATGCCCCTCATCCGACTTTCCTGCGGTCACTGCCGCTTCAGGTCATGTGACGTTGAAGTCCACCGTTCCGGTTGCCCCCGCACAGGTGACCTCGGCTTCGCGTATAGGCTCAGCAACGAGCGGGTCGGATACATACCCACGCGGGTCGGATACATATCCATGCGGGTCGGATACATATTCACAGACGATTATGAGGATCCGCACGCGTATTCAAAGAGAATGCACGGACTATAAGGGTGGAATCTTCAAGGGCACACCAGAAAAAGTGGACCTTATTGACAAGGTAGATGGAAGGGTAAGCGACGGGTACAACCAAATGGGGACGTGTAGCGGTCACGAGACATGACACATCGGGCTGCCCGTATATTAGGGAAAGGCCATTTAAGTTGTGAAGGTTTGTAATGGGGTGCTACCCACTGCATACGCAAAAACCGAGCCGGCTGCCCGATCCCTCGCTGAATGTGAGCGCTGGATGGGATCTTGACCTTTACAATGCATGACCTCATTTCCTTGCTGATCATCAGTATTGCAATGCTTCCTTGCTTCATCTGGCATGACTTGAGCCTTTATTTGCTATGCATGCGTAGAGGCATGCAACTTGCGTGTGTGTGGTGCTTTGTGGTCGTTCTGCGAAGAGTGTGTGTGGGGGGGGGGGGGGGCATTACCATGGAAACGTACGAAATGCTCCATGTGTGTATGTGTGTGTGTGTGCTCCTGTTTCTAATGTTTCCATTGCGCCCAGTGTGGTAGTGACAACAGTTCTTTTTTGTTGAAACGGAGTAAAAGACGAAGTAAAGGTACGGAGCTCGCCAGGGTTATGCTATGTTTGTTTCTCGTAGAAGGAGCAAAAATATGAATTCAAAGAGAAACTTCAACCCCAGTGCATACGGGATTACGCATTT